GGGATCTGGGTTCTTGCTTGTGACGGCTTGCGCTGTCAGCTCGAGTGAGCAGCTGAGTAGGTCACCTTCAACCAGTTGGTGTTACATACTGGTTCTCCCTAAGCCCTCAAACCCTAAACCCCAAGCCCTAAACCCTAAAGCCTAGAGTTGGCCTTTCTGGAGCAACGCTCTGATCTCAAGGGAACATGAGACCTCAAACCCTGAACCCCCCATAACCTCTCCATGATTGACATATATATATATATATGTCTACATATACATATATGGGTTAAATATATATATATATATAGATAGATAGACAAATATTTTATGAAGGGGTTTTAGTTATAGTGTCTATATTGGGCTTATATTGGGATAGTAGAAAAGAAAATGAAAACTACTATATGGGGTTGTTAGGGATCCCTCCTATCTTGGAGCCCCATCAAGGCCCCTTAGGGGTTGAATTACGGGGCACGTAGGGGTTCAAGGAACAACGTCGCCTCTGCAGGTTTAATCCTAGCTTGGGGTTGGGTAAGCAGTAAGTCCTCCAGAAGAGCAGAGAAAGTTGCGAGAACTATCACCAACAATGGAAAATCCGATGTAAAAGAAGCTTGAGATTGGGTTAGATAGAGATTTAGAAGGATTATGTATAAACGTGGTAGTGATTGATGTTTCTACTGTATAGGTGTTGTCTACATGATGGGTCCAGTTTGAGGAGTTCCAGAGTAAGGATAGACGGGGCACCCAGATGTTGAGAAGAAAAGCCTACATTCTGGGCACTTGCTGAACCCTTTCTATCTTTGGGCCCAAGCATGAGCCAAATGACATGTGCTGCCGCCGTAGGCCCCGCGCACCCATGGCTGTTGCGATTCGGCGCACAGTTCCGCCTCCATGCCGCAAGGGAACTATAGTGTTTAAATAAGGGTTATATAAGGATTATAGGATGTACATTAGGGTAATATAGGAAAAATGGAAGCTACTATAATGAGTTATATAATGAGGGAAGAAATTCCGCCATTTTGGATCACTGGCACGAATGGCCACTCCTGACCTTACCTGGCCCCCCCCCCCAACATGATGGCTCGATTTTTCGAGAGTGGTTTTTTTGGCTGAGAGTAATGTACCTACATCCGTACCTGTAGCCTTTGTCCAGGGTTTGGACGAACCTTTATTGGGTGCTATATATGGCTACTAGTTATAGGCATCCGCTGCTAAGTAGCAGTAAGTTTAGGGCCAGGGCAAAAACAGCGCAACCATATTGGGAAACGAGGGTTTCTAAGCTCTCAACGTTGTCGGTCATTAGTTCCAGTTGTGCTCCCTCTTTTCTGGAGTTTCTTCATGTTGGTTGTATGTGACGGAGTGCAAATTTGAGCACTCCAATTGATGTTGCATGACATCCGTTGCGATAATCAGATGACCACAATCCCTTTAGCTTTCAGAAGTGGTTCCATGCTCATGCAGAGAAGAACCTTCTTCTGTTCACATTACCAACCCAAAAACCTAAACCTGTAGCTCTAAGGAACGACCACAGCTGCCTGTTTTGGGCTGTTGCATACCTAGCCGCTACTTTGTCGCATATTGGAACCCATGTTGGATAAGGCTTTAGGGTTTAGGGTTAGTCTAAGACTTCCCTTGGGTTTTACCACTTTTTCTGGTGCAATGTTGCAGATATGTTCTCAAACGAGGGAAAACTTTGGGAATGTCGAGATGTATGGGTCGTTCGACGACTCATCAGAGAACACAACAATCACGTTTGTTTCGTGTGTTTTGAGCTATAATCACCCTTAAGTAGATAGAATATGGCTTTGGGTATATTACCATAAGATCCCCATATACCCCAGATTTTATCTACTTAAGGGGGACTATAGGTAGGGAGGCCTAAGCTACAAACAGGTCTAAGCAGGTAAGATCCTCGAATCTCTCTTTGTATCTATAGGTATCGCATTTCATTTTTCCTAAACCCTGAACCCTTAATTTCGTAGTATACCAACCTGGGGCATCTTTGATCTACCTAAGCCCTAAATCGCCTACTTTTTGCTTAAGGCAGAGAGCAGGTGGGGAGTCCTATAATCTATAGTCTAAACTCCTTAAAGGGGGGTTATATAGGAATTATGTAGAGGACTACTATAGGTGTTGTTAAGGGGTATACTAGGAGTTCAGACTATAGCTCCTATGATCATCACAGCTAATTCTCAAAGATGCGCCTACCATGATGACAGGGTTTAGGGTTCAGGGTTTAAGGGGTAATGGTACTTGTAACAGGTAGTGAGAGTAATAGCTTAATTCTAGTGCGGCTACTACTGTAGTACATAATATTAAAAATGCAACAGAAGTGCAACAGACGACAGCCAGAACGCTGTTGATAGGCATTGGGTTTAGGGTTTAGGGTGCTGGTAGACAATGATTGTTCGTTTCAGTCTTTGACAACAACACTTTCTGTCAGGATCGATTAGCACTGGTAGGTCCAAGCTATAAGGGTATTTCTCAATATAACCCCTATATAATCCCTTAAGGGGGCCCTATATAATCCCCTTATAATCCCTCTATACCCCTTGGGGTCCCTAGGGACCCCCCTTTTTGAGAAACTCCCATAAGACGGCCTCAGTCTTGATGTGTTCAGGCGCAAAGGGCTCAGAATTCAGGCAGAGGGTTCTGGGCTAAGTGCTTAGGGCTTGAGGGGAAGGCCCCAGAGCATGCAAATTGGAGACTCATTTCTAAACACACTTCGGAGGAAGTCTAAACAGCATCTCGGCAGATCACAGAGCCTTCATGGCTGCTTTCTGGGTACCAGTTTTCAAGGGGGCCCATGTTTGTCCGGAGGAACGCGAACTTGCCTCCTTTATGAGAGGGCATGAAACCACTGAAAAGGGCCCGTTTCAAAAACGTCTTCTTACTCGTGGGCATGCCACGTAGCACTGCGGAACAACAAATGACATTATTAAATCCATACACTCCTGGGCCCTGAACTCTTTTAGGGTTTAGGGTTCCAACCCTAAACCCCAAACCCAAACCTGCATCACCCCGAATCTGGAAGCCGAAGCTCCAAAACCTTAAGACCTCGAGGCCAATATAATATGTCTGGGCTTCCCCAAAGTTAGGGGTGCTCTTTTTTTGCGGGTCCCTATACTCAGGACTATAGTATTGGGGCCTAGTATTGAAGTTCTACTATGTAGAGATTGTTCATGTCCCTCCGCCGTTTTTGGGGTAATTGCAAAGCACACCTCCCAGACCGTCTAAAGGATCCCCAAAATGGACCCCGCCCATGGTTATTGGGAGGTTCCATTTTTGGGATCCTTTACGGGGCCTAGATTATGCCTGTACAAGGGCACCTGTTCATTAAACAATTGCGGGCCTTCAAACCGCAGCCTGAATATTAAATGGCTCTACAGGAGTCAGTTGGGTCCAGATGATAGCCAAAGTGATCCCAAAAGCCCCACCCTGTACAAGCTTTGAACCTCAGGATAGAAATTTGCTATAACCCACCAATATACTGTAATCCTTTTTCTGGGACTCCCCCCAAACTGTGGTCTCCTTAGGAACTTTTATTATAGTATAACCCAAAGGAATTATTCAACATGTTTTCTTATAGGTCTGAGGAAGCTATGGCAAAAGAGACCCTTCATCTACTGGAAAGCCCCACAAGTCATGCATCTTCAGGGCAGCAGCCCTAGACCCGAAGCCCTAAACCTTATACTCAAAGACTTTAAGTTTGTACCCTTAAAGTTCGTAACCTTACTTAGGTTTTGGGTCCCGAATACCCTTATTCAGAACCATATTCCATGGCTTAGGGAACCTAAAAAAAACCAAGGGTACAAACCCTGCCAAAGGGTACAAAGGACAAGTCCCTGATATACGCCCAAGCCTCAGGAGGGCGACGTAGGCCGCGCAAAGGCAGGCCAACTGAGGGAGGCTCCTTCGCTGAGTTCAGGGTTTAGGGTTTAGGGGCAGGTAAGGCCCCCACCCAGTAATAAGGATATACCAAACCCCAACAGGTGCCCTGCCAAGACTGCAATATATATATATATATTTGCACACATATACATATTATATATATATGCATATATGTTAGCCTAAGGAAAAGTAGGTGTTTGGTGTTTAATTGGAGCTTTCGGCTTAAGACTCTTAAGTCTCAAGATTGAGCAGTTCAGGGGCTATCTTAGGGGCGGGTTTCCTTTTTTTTCTTTGCCCAATTTGTTTCGAGATTAGGTTACATAGGGGCCGGGTTGGGTGGGAGCTTGACGCTGTGTTGCTTTCGTTTTTTATTCCTGCAGGGCAGTTTTGAGACTTCAAGTTTTAACCCTACTGCTAACTCCCAGTACGTAAAGGGCTTTCGACGCAACCATGGTGGAACGTTTCACCGCGATAGGCCCTCAAAAAGGTAGTGCCATTCGCGAAGAACAACACCTTAGTTTGTTCGATCTCCAGAGAGCATGCTTTGCTTAATTCGCGTGGAATAGAGAAGGGATTTCTATCATACAACCCCTATCCCCCCAGTTCCAAGTAAGCGTGAGTCGGGAATACTCCTCCTTGAGGTTTGTGCGCAAGATGCGCTAGCTGACCCCGATCCTCTGACGCGCGCTCTGCTCCTCGGCTTTAACAGCGTGGACGAGTACGCGAACTGGATCAGAAACGAGCTTTGGCCGCAGGTACAGGGACTAAGGGACAGCATTTCTGGGCGGAGTTGTTTTCTAGTTTGTTGGGGGTTCTGATTTCGACAACACCCTCTCACGCCATCCTACAGAGTTTACGTGCGGAGTCCTGACAAGCCTAGATCCTAAACCCCAAACAGTAAAACCCATAATTCCTAAACCGCGGAATTGCTCCATGATGGGCAGAGACGAAGTGCACTAAGTCCAATGATGCAAGGGGGCCTCTTTAGGGGTTTCAAAGAGCTTTTATAAGATGAGAACGGTTTAGGGTTGAGGAGAATTGCTTGAATTTCAGGAGCTTGAATGAAACCTTCGGAGTCGTCTCCCCTCATAGCCCTCACACAACTACGGTCTCCCCCCCGCTGACGCAAGGAGTTTCATTGGGGCGGAGAAAACGAGTGGCTTGCTTGCAGAGCGAGGCTGCAAGGACTTAGTGGTTTAGGGTTTAGGGTTTTGGAGGGCCTGTCTAAACCCTACACAGAAATGTGGTAGCGTCTGTTTAGTCTAGGAGGGGGATAAGCAAGGGGAGCCTATTGCGTAAGCCCCACACTCAGACCAGGTTTAGGGCTTAGGTTTTCTTGTTTAGGGGTGTAGAGTTTAGGGGTTTAGGGTTCAGGGTTTAGGGTTTTCGGGTTTCAAAGGAGCCGGAGGCCTCTAACAGGAGAATGGACCCTTCACGGTTTTGAATGCTGCCGGATGCAGTCAGACTTGTGTGGCCATAGTGCTTGCGTATGGGCCATAGTCTAAACTCCTTAAAGTGGGTTATATAGGGAATAATTTTGGGGTTGTTAAAGGGAATACTACGAGTTTAGACAATGGCTCATATGGGAAAAACACGTCGAGCAGATTGCATACTAGGCTTTGTTCCTATTACCATTACCACTTTGGGCTATTAAACCTTAAGGGTACCTTAATCTACCCTTAATAGGGTCCTAATAAGGAATTTTAGGGTCTAATAGCCCGTAGTGGTAGTTACCATTACCCTAAACCCTATACCCTTCATTATCCTTACTGTTGTAAGCCGGCGTCCTGGCGCCGGGATGTCGGGTGACCTACGCCTGAGGCCCAGGGTGCCAACTTACACAACATCTCACATGCGCGGGACGCGAATAAGTGTTTCAGGGTTTAGGGTTTATACATGACATATTAGTAAAACAAATTTGTATAATCGGAGTCCTCACATTAGCCTAGAAAGTGAGTAGACAATCTGTAACATTTTGGGTTGGATACAATGAGAAGGAGCAAGAAAGCCTTTCAAACCTTGTGGTTTCAGAATCCTTGTGTTTAGGCTTTCAGGATTTGGGATTATAGTCCCCCTTGAGTAGATAGAATATAGTGTATATGGGGATCTTATTATAATATACCCAAAACCATATTCTATCTACCTAAGGGGGACTACAGGATGAGTTTGGGGCTTGGGGGGTTGAAATTGGAGGTTTAGGTTTTACGGTTTAGAGTTTAGAGTTTAGGGCTTAGGATTTGGGAGCTAGGTAAGGAAAAGCCCAAGTTATGACCAGGTGTCCTCTAGTGCCTCATAGTTATCATCATGGCTACCACGAATGTTTTGTGATATGCTGCATGCCTGCCTAGGCAGAATTAGCCTAATACAGGTGCCTGAGTTGTTGCCAACAATATAGTCTTAGGCTTTCTGTAGGGGTTTCCTAAAACCAGGGGTAGCCTTTTAGGGTTTGGGGTTTCGGGTTTAGCCTTTTGGGGCCCTTAAAACAAGGAGTATACTATTTGGGGGTCTATATTGGGGTTCCCTATTTAGGGAAACTACCCTGTGGGATTATGGTGCAAGGTGCCTCAATGGACCTGAAGATATGACCTACATGAAGCTTACCTGTTCAGAAACAACTTGTTGTGTGTTGATTTTTTGTTGGGGATCTCGCGCTTAAGTTATAGCATGATTAAGCTATGAGGACTCAAGCCCACACTCTAGAACCTAAACCCTGAAATTGGGTTTAAGGGTTTAGGTTTAGGGTTTAGGGAAATTGGGTCTAATCAAGGCTCCCGAAGCCCTAAACCCGAAGTTTGGGGTTTGGCGCACCGCCGAGGATTATTTGCCTCGCCAAGCACTACGGTCCAGAGCTTACCAGCTTCAACGGCAAGATGAGCTAAAGTCTAGACTCCTTAAAGGGATTGTATAGGGGAGTATTATTGGGTTTTTAGAGCGGATACTAGGAGTTTAGACGATGGCTCGAATGAAGCAAGACACCTAATGGAATTCCAGGCCTCGTCTCAACGTCTGAGAGGTTGATGGGTCTAATTGTCTTAAATAGCTAATGTCACTTAAATGACATGCATGCATGGTACAACGAAGGCCATTCTGATTCTTGCGGCCCCTGTGGTACCTTGCGTTAGGGTCCGCCTGGTCGCATGTGATGGAAGGTATTTGCTTCTGGGTTTAGGGTTTAGGGCCTGTGCGCTGAGCATCTAAGTCTGTAGATGAACATCAGTCATACTTTTGTTTGGCCCCCTAAGCCATAAACCCTCAACCCTACATACTTCGCCTATTGGGATGCCAAGGGGTGCATACACCAAGCCAACATTCCGCATCATGTGGGTACCGTGCTTGGGCGGAAAGGAGCTCCTGGTTTCATAGGTTCCCTCGCCAACCGCGCAACACTATCCTCCCCCCTGCAGGTTCCGCGTAATAAGCCCTAGTGATAAGGTCGAAACAGAAACCTCTTGTATTACCCATTGGGTTCCACGTTAGTTCGCGTTCATTAATACTAGTGATCTGTAAGTGAAGGCAATCATTTTCTTTCTTGGCCTTACACTCTATACATGCGGTCGCGAGGTATGTAAGGGTATATAGTGCTTATTCGGGCTTGGGCGTTCGATTACAATGAGGGGACCCCTTTCGGGAGTACCTATAGTAAGGATCGCATATTGGGGTCTTATTTAGGCCGACGAAGTTAGGGAACCCCCTATTAATCATACCCGATACACCTTCAACGCAAAAACTTAGACCCTATCCTACCTAGCTCACATTCCCCCAAACTAACACTGAACCTGGAAAGGGGTCGCTTCTGGACTGCTTCCCTTCGAAGCGGGGGGGCCTGAATGGAGTTCCATAAAATTTGGTGAGGGCAGTAAGCTCTAAATCCTGAACCTTAATTCTAAACCCTAAATCCTAGACCCTGAACCCTAAACCCTAACCCTCAACAACCCTCAACCGTTAACCCTGAGCTTAAACCCTCAACCCTGAATCCTAATCCTAAACCCTCAGCCTTAAACCCGTTAACCCTTAACTTTCAACCGCAAATCCTAAACTGTTAACAGCAGGCATCGAAGTGGCTGTGGTCTGCTGTGAGAGCATGCAAGGCAAGGTTATGGGAGATCATGAGGTTCTTTTCGGGTAAGATGTGGGGATTTAATGGGAGATTGAGGGGTACTTTGCATGAGCTATGTTTTAAACTCCTTAAAGGGGTTTGTATAGGGGATTATATAAGAGAGCTTTGTAGGGCTTATTCAGGGGGATACTAGGAGTCTAGACTATGGTTCATATGTGGGGATTTAGTGGAAGATTGTGGGATACTTCATATGAGGGTTCAAGGTTTAGGTGTTTAGGATTAAGAGCTTAGGCTTAGGGTTTAGAATGGAGGTTGCCCAAATCACGGGTACATTTGTGGAGATCCCTAGAATGTTTCTTTGGGGTCTGCGGCAAAGCCGACAGAGGCTCCTGTTCCATGACATCAAGTTCTGTGCCCATATTCCCCCCTAAGTAGATAGAATACAGGGGGTATGTGGGATAGTATTATAGTATGCCCAAAGCCATATTTTATCTACTTCAGGCGGACTTTAAACCCTAAACCCTGATACAAGTAGTCTGGAGTTTCGGGATGCCCCTGGCGCTCCAGGAAACAATGACAAGGAATTTAGGGTCGAGGGCTTAGGGTTTAGAGTTTAGGGTTTAGGGCTAGGGTTCAGGGTTTAGGGGCTTGAAGCATCAGGCATGTCTGGAATATGCATGTGGGTACAGGGACACGTTCTTTCACATAGATCCCGCGCGCGAAGTCTCAAAAGCGGCTCCTACAACCCTAGCAGCTTTCCTTAGTCTGATTTGTCTACTAACTACTATATAACCGTTGCTGTTAAACCTGGAGGGTTCAAATAGCTGGTCATAGTTTCAGTCCCCGACGCTCCCCAATTCCCAAGGCCCAGTGTAGGTATTACATGTATACAGTATGCATGGATCCCTTTGGTAATCCCTTTGTCCACGAACCGAGCGATGCGCGTGCTGAAGCGCTAACGGAGCCTATCTCTCAGCCGAAAATGATTCAGACCTTTCACCTCGCAGTCTTTTTGCGGGCTTCTGTCAAACCATGGCTTCCTTTTTGGGGCTTTGGGTTTAGGGGGTTTAGGGTTTAGGGCTTAAGGATTGTAGTACTCTGGGGGTCTATATTGGGTCTCCTATCAATGGAACTTATCTTAGAAAGGAAGCGTCCTAGCTGAAGAAAATTCAAGAAGTCATGGCTGCGCGCTGGGTGGCCTTTCTGGAGATCCACGTCTACAAGCAGCACCCACTTTGGGCCCTAAAGCTCAAAGTGGGTATGAACAGTACCCACTTTGTTCTTTTTGGATGCCTAGGGTAAGGGTCCAAGTATTACCCAGACCTTAGGAGGACCCCCCACCCTGTAATAGTGGTATTATAAGAATATAGAATGACCCTACTTTGATCCCTATTATCCCTTATAGTCACTATTACTGGGTGGGGGGTCCACCCAACCCAGACCCTAGACCTCTATGTTGGATCACTATGGCTTTTGCGTCCAATGGATCCCCAAGGCTTGGGCTGCACTTACTTTCGATTGACCGGTAAGGATTTAGGCCTTAGGGTTTAGGGTTTTGGGATTAGGGTTTTGGGTTTAGAGTTTTGGGTTTAGAGTTTAGGGTTTTGGGATTAGGCCCTCCCCACCTTTCACATGGTCAGCAAGTTCCACGGTAGGCAAGCCTTACGCCCGAGACTACGTGAGGCTCCATGTAGGTATCGGGAACCCGATGGCTGGCACCTTAAGCGCCAAACTTACGACTCTAAACCCTTAACCCAAACCCAAATCACTAATGCCCAAAGACCAAGTACATAATTATTGGGTACATGGACCCTTAGGGTAAGCCCTAAACCCTTAGCCCTAAACCCTTAACCCTAAACCCTTAACCCTACTCCGAAACCCTAAGCCCTAAAGCATAAACAACCCTAAGCTCTACGGCAGTTCTCTGCTATGGCTCGGACCTGCCGTCCTGCTCAGCTCGGAGACTTGCCCTTTTGAGAGTTTTTGGTTTCGGGGTTAGGGTTTAGGGATTAGGTTGAGGGTTCAGAGTTTAGATTTAGGGGTCATAGGGTTTAGGGATCCGGGATTATGGTTTAGTATTTAGAGTTTAGACTTTCGGGTTTGATAGTTACGCATGCATCCATATACACATGCTTAGGGGAAAAATCGGCATAGAACCGTGTTTGTGTGAAGAATAATCGCCTGTTCGGCTTTCTTGACGGCTTTTGGGCCATGGAACCCCACATCATCTCTTTCAAGCAGGGACTCTTCATTTTGTAGATGAGTTGCTTTGTAGATGCGAGGGGTCATATGGACATGATCAGCGCGCCCAGAGGGTAGTTCCCAAACCTGACGCGACACGCAAAGCCCTTACCTTCACAGCTTGATAAAAGGTGTCTCATGGATGTGATAAGAGGATACTGATAGCCTTATGTACCCCCCAACCCCAATACTCGTGACCTTGCAATGGAGTCCTATGATCATCATGGAGTCCCATTTTGGGGCTGGGGTAGCACATCCCCTTGCGTTTTGGGAGTCCTTTAAAGCAAGCGCCATCCTTAATTGTTCAGGGGACTAGATTTCGTTTACTATGAAAACAGCCAGAAATCTCCTCCTTTGCTCAGTTGCTGCTTTGCTTTACTGGTGGTTCGTAGGGAATAAAAGAATGTATTATGTACAAGGTTCCTGAACATATTTTTTAATTTCTGTTACCTAGAATCCTAAAATTTAGCTGAAATTATCATTTCTACTGGGGTTCCAAATCCCTTAGAGTTATATGGGGATTATATCCCCTACTAGCCACCAGTGAGTTGGGGGAAGAGTTTGGCACGGGGAGCGAGAAATTGAAGGATCTGAAGCTTAGTGCTTCCAGGTGTGATTGGGGGAAGTGGTGCCCGCTTGAAACTGTTAACCCTTAGGGTCCAAGTACCTAATAATCATATACTTACCCAAAACCTGGACTAAAATCACTATTACCCAAAGACCAAGTAAGTACCTAATCATTGGGTACATGAACCCTTAGGGTAATGGGTATAAACGGTCATCCCTGAAAGCCATTTTTAGTTCTGGTCGTACTGGTTATCTTCAATTTCTATCCCAGTGAAACCGTATCCTACTGAAACCATATACCTAAGCAAGCGACATTACCCGCTATTGGGTGCCATTTATCCCAAGTTAAGGGTACTAGGAGAGTCTGTGAATGTTATCCCAATAAGAAGCCAGGATAGGACTTCTGGCGAGGTATTTTCCCAACAGCCTTAGGGTTTGGGGTTTAGAACTCTAGCAAAGCACCTGTAGGTAGGGGATGGGAGGAGGGCCGGGTAGTGTTGACCTCTTGAGGGGCGTATACTTTACACCGGCAACTACAGTACCAAGCTCGTTATACAGCATGAGCTCATATGCCAATGCTGCCCAAAGGGCCCACCTTGTGCAACGCCTCAAATGGTAGTATAACACTTAGTTTTATAGGGCTCCCCACATCTACCCTCATTAAGCCATGCGAGAGGATATACCTCCTCTACACGGGGCAGCACTACGACCCCATCGTGTCGGGGCCCGAAGCAGGAGTCCCAGTGGAGCAAGAGCAGAAGAAGCAGAAGAAAGGCGGACGGTTTTCGGTGTGTGAACACTCCGGTTATATAGGGCTTATGTGACGATCATTTAGCAAGACTGGATGGAAATGGAAACTCCCGTTTTGGGTGTTTGGGATCTGTGTAGAGTTTCCGGCTTTGAAACAACAAGTTCAGATTTTGGGGTTTAGCCTGGGTTGCAACTCAAAAGGGTTTAGGGCTTAGGGTTCGGGTTTAGAGCTTAGTTGCTGTGTGGTTGTTTAACTTCGAATCCCTGCAGAGCCATTATGCGCGAATAGAGGCATTTATTGCAGGTACCAGTATTTGTTTTCAGAGTTGGGTTCTTGTTTTAAAGAAGCTGCATGCTTAGAATCACATCCCTCTAATACTCACCCCCCCACCCCCTAACCCAAGCATACAAGGATAATCTCATGAGGGTACAGTCCCCCCTAAGTAGATAGAATATGGGGTATTTGGGGATCTTATTATAATATACTCAAAGCCATATTCTATCTACTTAAGGGGGATAATTTGTATTCTGCGAAGGTTGGGGTGGTGAGATATTGTCAGCCCTGAAGCCCGAAAACCTCAGTAAGACAGCAGATGTCATCTTCTCTTCCATTCACTAGTCTGAGCCATAGTCTTAGCTCCTTACAGGGGTTATATAAGGGGCTAGATAGGGGACTACTATAGGGGTTATGAAGGGGGATACTAGGAGTTTAAGACTACAGCTAATATACCGCCTATAATACACTCTTTCGGGGTTTGTGGGAACCCGAAACACTAAACCCTAAGCCCTAATTGAATGCTTCCCAGGGTTCGAACTTAGAGTCTACGTGAGGGATCTGGTGGATGAGCTAGTGTTTAGGCTTTTAGGGCTTAGGGATGAGGGTTTGGGGTTGGGCTAAAAGTTTCTAGTCCCCCTGAAGCAGATAGAATGTGGAATCCCTCCTTTATTATGATGTGTCACAAAAAGACCCCCCTAAACCTAATACTTTATCTACTTAATGGGACTCTAGGGCTCATAGTACCTTCGTAGAGTTCCAGTATACTTGCCGATAGGCCTTTCATCCTCCTATGGTGCTCTGGAGGCCTTCCATGAACCCAACAAATTTAAGGTCTATAGTCCTCCTTTGATAGTCTTAATTACAGGGGTCAAGGGGTGATGCTAGGAGTTTAGACTATAGCCCATATATCCCCAATTAAGGGTACCAGGAGGATTTTGGGTAGATAAGGTTTGGGGTTCGTTCCTTCCAAGTCTACCTGCGCCCTGCCTGGAGATTCGGGGCAATTAGAACCACATGGTATAAGGGGTACTTCACCCAATCTTGCTGGCCATGTTTGGGGGGACTTCGGTGTCTTAGAGGTGGGTTGTAAGTGCAGTTATCATTGGGTCATAATTGCACTGAACCTCCAAAGTCGATCCTAGACCCTAAGCCCAAAACCCTGCCATCGTTATGGTCGCTATGGGTTTGAGACGGTTTGGGGAAAGAGCCCCCGGGCTAGACTGGGCAGGCGACGCCAGCCTAGATGCCCAAGCGCTTGAAATAGCGCGACGGTGCCCTGGATGCTTCTAGGGCTTTGGCTGTTCAGGGTTATGATATCGTAGCAGCTTATTGTTATTATTATTATTACGATTATCATTATCATTATCATTGTATTATGTTTTGTGCATTTTTTCGCAGCGCATAGTTCAGGGCATAGCTTTTGTTCCACCCAAGTCAGCCTGGACCCTTTAGACCTGGAGCCAGGAACCACCGGTAATAGGGAGTCGGCTTTGACACTGATGGCGACCAAATTCCTAAACCGTAAGGCATAGGAATAGGAGGCTAAGGGAATTGCACGAATCAGCATGGAAAAGCTACAATTCAGCAGTTAAGGCTCCACATTTGTGGGTACTGGATGTACCTAAATATTAGCCGAACATTTGCTTCTAGGCGCAGAGGGAGGCGTTCTAGTGTGAAGGGGAGGGTCGTAAAGCCTAAGGCGTAAGCCCTACCACCCTAAATCGCGCAAGGGAGGCTATGACAGCTGCAAGCCAGCTGCAAACTGCATACTCTACGGGTCCACGTATTACACAGTGAGATGGTAGACTGTCAAAGTCACGATCCCTTTTTGGATGTCCTACGTATGAAGTATTAGGGCAGTATCAGAGAAGGGACCCAAAAGGCCAACAAAGTGTGACAATCTGCCATATTGTGCATCCCCAACGGGGTGCTTGAAGGGACTCAGCTGGTTTCACTTGTATATCGTGCCGTTCCCGCAAGACCCTTTCCATGGCACGGCAGAGAGAGAGAGAGAGAGAGAGAGAGAGATGAGAGAGATGAGAGAGATGAGAGAGGTCCCAAAAAAATCCGTTATTGAGTACATGGGCCTACCTTAATTTCCTCCCCCCAAGTATCACACACAATCAACGCACAAAGTCAGATCGATTGTCCAATATTGCGTGGTAGGAGTTTGTTCAATATTGTGTAGCAGGAAGGCGCTAGTGTAGCCTCCAGCCCTAGTCCTCAATAGAGGATTTGCCAAAATTCATTCCCTGTATCTACCCTCCTCCAAACCCTAAACCCTAAAATCTGAACCCTATAACTGCATGTTATGCTTCCGCAAGTCGGGGTTCGAGATTGAATCCCGCTGACTAAGCCAAATCCACCGCATGAACTCTACGGAAGCCTCATGACCATGCAGAAGTTGCTACGTAAGCATGACATAGAAGCCTGACCAACTTTTAAGATCATCCCCTTACAATACGTACTGCAGCTACAGCATGGAACGCACCCAAGCCCATGTCTAGTATTTGGGCCACTACGTCCCATAAACGCCGAAGGCACGTCGCAGAGGCAGCAAAAAAGGCGAAACAACGCCGAGCTAAGAAGATAAAGTGTTTCTCGGCCGAGGAACCCTCCTCAGGATTTACGGTACGGGGCTCCCCAAAGCAAAGATGAAACCTTAACAGGGGCGCTACGGAGACTGATTGCAGTTATTGTCACAAGGGGGCTAGATGAGATATAATTAGTCTAAACTCCTGGTATCCCCCTATCCTTTATAGTACTCTCCCATATGATCCCTTATACAACCCCCCTTTGAGGAGTTTAGACTATAACTCATATTATCAACTTCCAGTCTCTAGTGTTTGAGCTCCTTGGGATCCGGGCGCAGGGCAAGGTAGCATCACCCATGTAAAGGATGCATAAACCAGTCCCATAAAAATATCCCTACTGCATCCATGATCCCCTGGTAATCCCTACATACCTTGTGGGTTTCTTGGTGCCCCTCTTTTGAGAAGCCCCCCATAAAGGTAGTTCAGACACTTCACTGCCAGGGTGGGGTCTGAGATGCGCCAGCCTTGGGAGAGAAAGTATCTAGGGGTGGGTTAGTATCGTAGGTACCCCCAGCAGTACCCTTTTTTCCCTTTTAGGGTACCCTTATTATTAAGGGGTTACTCAGGGGTTACTGGGGAACCTAGTATCTACTTGTGAGAAGAGGTTTGATAACCGCATGAGGACAGTATTAGAGTCACATGATGGTTATCTCCTTGGGTCGGGGCTACCAAAATCATATTCGGATTTGGGTAATGTTAGGGTTATATTGGGGCTATATTGGGATACTGGAAAATAGAATAGAAAGTACTATTTAGGGTTTAGTTTTTAGGCTTGAGGTTAAGGGTTGGTATCTGCCATCCCGCGAATAAGCAGACAGGGAATGTGTTATCTGCATCCTAGGCCTGGGCACCGAGTCTCGAAGAGCAATTAGTCCACTCCCCCATATAGACCTCCCACCCCCGAAACAAAAAGATCCCCCGTAATCTAGTGTGCGGTTGGATTTGGGGTATCCAGCTTGGCAAACTTGGCTCAGAAACCCACGCGCTTCAAGGTTCAAAGCTTCGGGAACACCCAGGCACATCAAAAGAAGCACTGCCACGCCTGTAATTTTAAATAATCACTCATAGAGATCTGTGGTCGATGTTTTGGTAATCCTCTCCACGAATAACAAGAGTGATAAAAAGATTCTCCTTAACATTTAATGGTAGCATGTGGAGTGGTTTTTTAGGGGGTCGGATCAAAGGTGGCGGCTGCGGCGCGTTGCTCAGCGACGCGGAGGCTTTCGCAACCCATTGCGGAGACTGGGCTTCTCTTACCTATGGTTAGCTAGGAAAGAAGGAATGGATCCTTGTAGTAGTTCCGCTATGGGTTTAGGAATGGATCCTTAAAGTAGTGCCTGTGTAACCCATTATATTTCTAGTCTCCGTGTTCTTTTCCACTCCTTCATTCCCAGCTAAGCAAAGGGAAGTTGTTTGAGACGTTTTCAGATTGTTGGAAAGAGGGTCTTCCTGCAAGCCACCTACAGCTCTCTAGGGCTGCCATTTACCTGAAGAGTAGGCTACCGGGCTATGTACTCATAGGGTATATAGAACCCAGAAGGCATTATTTAGGTAACTGAAGCTCTAGAGAAGCATGACCCAGTGACGGTTGCAGGTCAAAGAGAGTTCGGGATCTTAGTATGGAGGGCTTAGGCCATGGCGTTTGGATAGGGTTACGGCTAGGCCATAGGGTTTAGGGTTGAGGATAGCAACATCGCAACTGCGATGGTTCTCCTACTCCGTGCTCACATTGCATGCAACTCGAAAGTACATTAATACAGAGGGCTAGATAATGACCAATACCCTTTTAAAATCTATTTGAGGTATCCTGTACCATATTCATACAAGGAATTTGGGACCATAGCATTGGTGATGCTAGGCTTCTGTATTAGTCTAGAAATCTTCAACCCTAAACACTAAGAAGCCCTAAAGATTAACACCCCCTAGACATAAACCCTATAAACCATAACCCCCTCAAACCTAACCCCTAAACCGGCCCGAGGGCTGGCTAAGCTCTGGCTCTTGATCAGAATAGTGGAGGTTTCCCTAGAATAAGGTTCATAGCAGTTTGGGCCCGTGTTGGGAAATTACCAGTAATCTCCTTATCCCTATGATTATCACCCTTAGCATCAAAGACTCCCAAGACACTCCACCCTAAACCTTAAACTGCATAA